TGCAAATTTTTTTCTCGTAAAAATTTTGATGCTGTTATATTTTCAACCCTTGTGTGATAGTAACATGTTGGTCAGAATACTCGATTCATCCAGGAAGTAGATCATCTGTCAGCAGTGTAGTTTGAGTCCCAAGTTCGTCTTCTGATCTGGCCATGATAATATTGTTCTTACTTTAGATGATGTCATAACCATGTAATGGGAGTAATAACAGTTGAGAACTGACTTGAGGTTTCTAGATATAAAGTGTTGTTAAATAAACATATAAATCAAGTAAGTGAAAGAAAAGGAATTGATGCTCAGAATATGTTTATGAATTTATTATTGTTAGACGGAGGCGTCTCTCATTTCTTGGGCCTGGTATGTTAATTGAATCCATTACTGGTCCAATGCATGCCCCTCTTTTTACCATGATGAAATTTCGTAGGCGTTCTCAGATTTATTAAGCAATTAAATTGCATTTTTTGATTGAAAAGTAATGAGGTACATGTAAGAGATGGGAAGGTTTTTTTTCTTCTTCAAGAGAACTGAGTTCTTTGTTATGATTTTCGGACACTGACCATAGACCTGCATGAAGCGAACTCTGTGCTTTAGGTCTATACACTGACAATTTCAGAATTTAACTAATCAGCCGATTTATCATTAAACAATAAAATCTTAAATGCAGCAATTTTCTCTTCATGGCTCCGCCCTCACTAACGGTCACACCGTCTAACATATTACTTTCTCAGCCTTTTAAAATCAACATAATTTATGATAAAACTCTGAATGTAAAATAAATTCATGTTTCTGACTTTTTGTTTACGTATTTTCTCTTGTTTGTTTTACCAGCTCTTTTGAGACAACCCCGTTTATGGTTCATTCGGAACTGCTTAAAATGGGATGTTGTGAATATTGCTCTTTATTTTGGATTTACGCCGTATTTTAACGAAACCGAAATTTCATGAGATAGAAGATACATCAATGTTTCATTCACATATCTTAAATGAAATACACACCTTACCACAGTTTCAGAGCACGTCTTTACTTTCAAGAAAGCACGTGTTTAATGTCGGTCAACGTCACTTAAGCGCTTGCGGTTGTAAAAAAAAAGCCTGGACACGGTAAGATAGACGGAGTTCTTGATCTCGCTATGTCATCCAGAGTATGGACAATACATAAAGCTTCATTTATGTAAAGAATCATAAGAAACAGAAACATTTATGTTTGCTTAATTTTAATTATTTAATTAAAATTATTTGGAACTGCTTAAAATCCGGAACTGCTTAAAGCACTGTACTTGAAATTCCCTATGTATATTCTTTATATATGTACTAAAGAGTCATGAAAATTTCAGAACGCAGTGATGATTATTTTCACACTAGACAGCTTGTCCAATCGGAAAACCCTCGTATAGGATCTCCAATGATCTGTGCTTGGATATGATTTTTATCCACAGTCTTTTTTTTTTATTTCCGAGCAAACAAACGCAAAAATTCAACTTTACATCATCATATATATAAGTAAAGTCTAACATATATCCATGAAATATTAAAAAAGTCCTTTTTTTGTATGAAATTTTTTTTTTGAATGTTTCATTATTGAAGTTAATTTGAAGAGATATTTATGGTCAATTAACGCGATGCTCTTTTGTCTAGCAATCACACAAAATTCAAAAAATGCATATAATACACTGTATGAACTATTTACTAGTTCAAACAAATGACCACAGTCAAGCTGTCTGAAAAACTATTATAATTGCTCTTGAAAAAGGAAGTTTTTATCTTTATATAATATGCATTATGAACAACTGTTACCAAGGTTAAAAATAATTTAACATAGCCTATATGGAAACAATTTCTTCGAAATGTCTAAATAAGAGAGACAGAAATAAAATGTGAAATCGTTTTTGAAAAAGTACAAAATTTGACTGAATGTCCTTATTTTTTTTTTTTTTTTTTTTTTTAGCGAAACATATTTTCAGTTTGCTACAGTTTCATAAACTGAAATAAAATCTGTCTGATAAATATATTATTATGTTTTTCATTTGTCAGGATTCTACAAAATGCTGTGATGATGAAATGTTTTGTATCTAAACAATGTCTTTCAGTGTAAATCTATTATTTTTTCTCATATAGCACAGAGCATCATTATTTTGTGGTGTACCCACAAATATTAATCAATTAATTTAATTGCTTTATTTTAACGCCACAATGTGGTTTTTGGAGACCAGGTCCTCCAACAATCTTTTGGAATTCCCATGGATACCAATTGCGTCCCGTTATAGTAGACTTATTTTTGTTTTCATATGAAGCAGAACATGTTCGTAGTCTTATACGTGAAAAAAATCCACTTGCTGTTGCCTTCAACGCAACGTTCAGATATAACGACGACGGCCGCAGACGTATTATCAATTAACAATTGTTATTTCAATTCTTATGTCGAAACAATGTATTCCAGTGATCTTGCAATAAAATATACTACATAGTATGACACATCCATTTCATATTTAGAAATATTACTTGAAAAATATGATAATGGTTATTTAACTACCAAGCATTATGATAAACGTAATAACTTTGATTTTTCAATCATCAACTTCCCTTATTTATGCAGAAATGTACCTTCACCAACTGCACATAGGTTTGTATCTCTCCGTTGATACGATATGCGAGAGCATCATCTACGTATAAACGAAGAAAATAATCAGTAGCCTCGTCAAAGGAGTCCTATGGTCAATACAATGCCATTGTCAGCAAATACACTTTATCTTAGAGTCAAATGTTGACTGACAGTTTTCTTACCCATTGTTTGGTCATTATTTACACGTTGAGTTGTCGACAGCTTTTTTAACGTTCATTCCCGATCATGACAAGAAACACATGACGGGTGTTACCGGTCAGCAGGAGATGCTCACTCCTACATGTCACATAACAGTGGCGTAGCATCGTTTTTGAAAGTGGGGGGCCAGCCAGAGAAAAAAATGTTTTTTACTTACCTGAAAAAGTTGACAAGCAAAAAAAAAAAAAAAAAAAAAAAAAAGGGGAAAAGTTGCCCAAAGTCGAAAATCCTTTTTCGTGGGGGGTAGGTAAACTTTTTCTCATTGTCAACTACTTTAAGTATCAATTCTAATACTACATTTTCGGTACATCACTAAAAGTGGGGGGGGGGCGACCATGCTTTCAATTAACATTTCCTATAGTATAAGTAAGGTTGGGAAAAAAAGTTGGGGGGCCAGGCCCCCCTGGCCCCCCCCCGGTTGCTACGCCCCTGCATAATCCCACTTCTGACTTTTTGGAGGTCCGTGTTTGCTCTGCTTGGATCCTATTTTGTATTGTTAATGGACTTTTTATCTTGAATACTATTCGTTTTTTTTCTTTTGAAATTTTAAATCTATCTGAAAACTAGCTATACCGCGTAGAATTTTTATTCATATAAAAACATTTTTTTGATTTTAGTTCTTCTGTGAATTGTGTAAAAAGACACAATTTTCATTTACTCTCTCATTTGTATCTTCTTGGCATAGATGATTTATTTATAAACAAGTTTCAGCTCAGTCTAGTGAACATACAAAAAAAGTTTAATACTTCTATGATATACAGTATATTGTATTACTTATTGAACGACCCTCGTCTTAATTGTTCAACCAATTTACATGAATTGTCTACAGACTTTTTCGTCTTCCAGGGAATACACGGCGGATGTGACAGGTCGAAATATACAGAGAATGGTTATCCTCGTTTTTATGTCTTCTTTAAAAATATGCATACTGTGAAATCACTTATTTTCGTGGAGGTTAACATTTCGTTGTTTTCGAAGTATGAACATACCCAGGAATTCATGCCCACCACGAATGTAAATTTTCATATGCACAACTACAATAAAGTTTTTTTTTAATCCACGAAATCAAATCCCAAGGAACCAACATTTTTTCTTCAAACCACGAAAATTTGACCCCACAAAAATATGTGATTTTAATTGTTAGTCGGCATTCTTTTGCCAGTCAATGTTCCATATCTTTAAAAAGAATCACATTTCTTATTGCTTATTGCTATTAGAGATCTATTGTACCAGAAAAACGCATATAGCTTCTAACAGGTTTATGTAAAACATTTGATGAAAACGTTTGTTAGGAAAAATATATATAATAAAAAATACATTAACATGAAATATTCCATTCAGACTTTGAACATTTTTCATATCAATTGTGAATCTTCAGCGTTCACAAGAGGAGCAAAATAATTATGAAATGCAAAATGTCTAATATAAAGTATATATTGTTAAAGAATAAGAAATTGTTCGCATCAAAATATTGGTAAAGATAGTGTGCTTAAAGTGGTTGAAATCTACTTTTAAAATGCATAAAACTTAACAATAAAACATATCTTTATAGGGAAGCCCACAAACCATAAATTAAAAACAGACTTAAGTTAAAAATTTCAAATCAATATAACTTTTGAAATAATTTTTATAATGTAATAGAATTTGTACCATACGTTTATTTGGATTACAAGTACTATACAAACCTGCAAATATCAATAACCTTTTGTTATAATTCACAAACTATTCAAAATCAAAATTTTGAATTAAGTCTGTTCTCAGTTTATGGTCTCGAGGCCTGTAACAAACAAACTTAATAAAAAAATAAAGAAAGTTACAGATTAAAACATGTTTGTATAAGTAAAACAAATAAGATTATTTATTTTTTTCCACAAAATCTATATTTAAATTATTTTTCATGCAAAGTTTCACAATATTGGTATTTCGGTATTCTTGTGACAAAAAGTTGTTTATACTGATAAAAAAAATGAGCTTGAATACTATTTGTTACCTCCAAAATTTCATTGCAGAAAGATAGAATTTGGAATATACATAACAGAAAGTTTCTAATTTCTATATATATTTTTTGTATAATTATTATTGGCATCATTTACAATCAAAATAGGTCAAAAATATGTTCTAATTCAGGCATCCATATATTTAAATCACATGGCCTAAATTCCCAATATTTATAATTATATTGTTTTTTTTATTTTGTTGCAAAGTTATACATTGTTGAGTAAAATCTTAATTATTTTATCTTTTATTCATTTCGCAGCAAGGAAGATGAAGTCTTTCTGTTAATGAGGTATAATCCTCCTCTTGTTGTGTTTCTAGAGATATAGTATTTGCCGGAAGAGGAGAAGAATATATACTCCAACTGTGAGCCCTTGACCTTTTAAACACGAAACAGTCTAGATTACAGATGCAATAACATGTAGTTACAAGTCTTATACACTAAATACTGTTATAGATATTTGTACTTTTGTGTCATTAATATTGAAAAGTGATTCCTATTGTATTGAAAATGATTCAATAAATAAACGAGCATTGATCAATGCTCAGATGATGATCACTCCTCAATTGCACCTGATGCAACCTAGGATGTTTTAGAGGTTCATGTTTGCTCGATCTGTTCCTGCTTTGTGTTGTTAAAATCGACCTGTGAGCTTGGATACCGTTAATTATCTCAATATTTTCTAGACAATTCAATTTTTGTATGATTCTCACCTGGCAAAAAAGATAGTTGTACTAATCAGGATGAAGATGACTATTGCTTCCACTGATATTGCCAAGATCATGTAAAATACTGTGGGGAAGAAAGGAAGGCAGGTACAGTCAGGAAAATCTGAAATAAAAGTAAAATATTAAATCTATCAAGCCCTTTTCTAAGATAATGCATGTATTACTTTTTCATTAGTCTTTATAAGCATTGTACAATTCAATGCTTATTACAATGATCATTTCTGCAAAGATTTTATGTTTCAAAACATGAAATTTACATACTTGCACTTTTTTTTAAGATTAAAAGAATATGTAACATGAACATTTTTAATCATATCTGTAGTTATCTTTAACTCCTTATTATTGGAGTGCAGCGTGTCTGAAGATAGTTATATTTACTTAACAAAAGGACTTTAAAGGTGCATGGATACAAATTTGAAGTTAACATTTTCTGTGTAATATTACAATTTATATATTTCAATAGATTTCACGCAAAAATATGTTAAAAATCTTATTTCATCTAAAAGTTATTAAAACTTCAAATATTTAGACGGGTTTGATTGACACATCCTTGTACTTTCACAGATTTTAATTTTATGAAAATAAAAGAAAAATATTAAAACTATAATCCAGAAAATTCAGAGTAGAAATGTTCGAAAGCAAAACATAAACACAGTTTATTGTCAGTCCGTGCAGTAGTAGTGAGCAGACTTTAACAAATAAATGCACCCAGTGAATCAACAATAACACCGTATACAACGGGTAACGCGGGGAAGTCGCTAAAAAGTATGGGGAGTCGTTTTTAACGTATGGGGGAGTATATTTTCATTGCTTCGGAGTCAGAAGAGATGTCGGAATCCCCACATAAGTCGTAGATTGTGCAAATCATGCACGTTTTTAATCACTCAATTAAAGTAAATATGAAATCTGTTGAATAGTTTTGAAGTGTATGAGTAAACTAGACGTATATAGTAGCAGGAAAAATGACCAAGACAAAGATTAACGCTTCCATGGGATATTTGTTTCTTGTAAATACACCTTACAAATACCGAAAGTAGACGTGACCCACATCTCTTCTGACTCCGAAGCGGTGAAAAATCTACTCTCCCATACGTTGAAAACGACTCCCCATACTTTTTAGCGACTCGCCCGCGTTACCCGTTGTATACGGTGTATAACAGAGCTCGTACCCTGTTTACAAAAACTGTGTACGTCTCACGGGTGTGATCAGTTAGCTAAACTCTGTGCACAACACTCTAGCGCGGAATGACGATACTTGTGAAGGGGCTTTGCTTTCTAACACTTCTACTCTGAATATAATTATTTTTCTGGATTGAAGTTTTTTTTTTATATTTTTCATTAATACACAAGATTGCCGCTTTTCCTAAGTATTAAGAATAAAAGTAAAATTTGTGAGAGTGCAAGGATGTGTCAATCAAACCTATCCAATAATTTGAAGTTTCAATAACTTTAAGATGAAATAAAATTTTCAATTTATTTTTGTGTGAAATGTTATTAAAATATATAAATCGTAATATTATACAGAAAACATTAACTTCAAATCTGTATCTATATATGCACCTTAAATAATAGCTTTAAAGCTTAACTTACGACAGAAATAAATGATTTTTTAAAACTCGATGAAATAAAATTTGTCTTTAACGTTTAAGTATAACCAATCATCACCTTTTGATCCCAAAAATCTTAAAGAATGATAAAAATCCCTGTAATTCATTAAGGGTTTGAATATCTTTCCTCACCTGAGAGAATTTTCAATGTATTATCGCAATCTTAGGCTGCTCTCTTTTAACTTTAAACATTGTTCACGGTTGCTGAGTCAGTAGAGCGCTCGCTCCGTGGTCGGAAGGTCGTGAGTTCGACTGAAACTCGGATGCGACTGACCTAAGTCGATAAAAAATGACCAGCACTGTTCCTTCATCATGCACTTGACATTTGAATTAAAGTTGCAGGTCCTTCGTATGAGACTTTAATACCGATGTACTATGTCACGACAGGTGTTGCATGATAAAGATCCCTCACTGCTCATATCTCTGAGTGCCGAGTAAAGGTCAAAATTTGAAGCCCTCCACCGGTATATGGCGGCGTCTGTTCATGAGGGAAAAATTTTTGAATGGTCCGTAAATGGTGCGTAAAACAATAAACAATTAATCAATCAGTCAATCAATCTAAACATTCTATAAAGGTTTTCAAACAGTCCTAAGAACAATTAATTGTTTTTTTAAAGAACATGCGAATTCCATTGGTAATATCTTGGTTATAAGGTAAAATTTTTAAAGATGTTACATGTACATGTATGACTGTCTGGCTCTGACTTTAAAACGATAGAGAACATTTTGCCCGAAAAAAAATTTCTTTCTGAAATCTAGGTTTATTTGACCGAGGATTATTCAAAATTTCTATTTAAAATCTTATTCCTTTCATTTTTTCCCTTCAGGGTCAATAATGATAATGAATGCATAATTTACAGTACCGACCAGACCCAACCTGACACCAAAGCAGTCCCCGGGACTGCTTTGGGGCTGCTTTGAGACCGCTGTGGGACTGCTCTGGGACTGCTCAGAAAGCAGACCCAGCAGTCTAGGACTGCTGGGTTCACTCATGTGTGAAAGATTCTGAGTGACATGATAGTTCCGCCCCTTGTGTATTCTGAATTTGCAGGCTCCCAGTTGTTTTGTTTACTTGCTGCAAAGAGGAGTTTAAACTATGAAAAAAATATTTCTTACAATCTTTTAATAAGTAGAGATTATTATAGTTAATTAATATTTTCAGAGATTGTATCTTTACACAAAAGTAGTTTAGAATATTTAAAAAAAAAAATAAAGTTTATTAAATAAGGAAGTCAAGAGAATATTTTTATCCCAAAAAATGAACTACAGGTTTATGAGAAAAATATTTACATATAGGCCTATTTTATTATTTAATGTAAAATATTATGTACTCCAAATATGCATTTGCACTATTTAAAAAAATCATTACAGTTAGATATAAGATTTTTTAAATTAAAAGGGCTACACATTTTACAAGCACAATGCTTAAAAAAGAGTATTGCATGCAACCTTCCAATAAAACATAACAATTTATACAATGACCATAAAATGAAATTATGCTACCATTCTTCCGTAACATAAAAATATAAATAATTATTGGGGAATTTCTTTATGAATTAGTTTTTAATTTATTTAAACAAGTTATCAAAAGAGTACATGTACATTTGTTTTAAAAATAAACAGTTTAAAATATCGGGAATTGTGATTTATTTCTTTTTGTTTTGCTTGTGTTTACCTGGTCGATCAATGTGTATTAACACCTGCGGTTTCAATCATGCTTGTTATTTGGGTACACATACAATGTATCAGTGTTACACATCATTGAAAATGCTGGTCAACAGTAATTTTAAAAAAAGATGAACGAAAAATGTATAAATTTCTTTAAGGATTAATTAATTTTGAAAATAATCTTTGGGTTCCATTCTGGTCATTTACAGATGTACACTCGAATGTTTACAAATAAAACACTAAAAACTGAGTATCATAAAGCTAGAGAAGCCAACCAGAATTAAATTGACAATTCAGTAAAAAATATTCATCACTGAAAAATAATTCTTGGAAAAATTAACAAAGAATTTTTCAACATCCCCAGTACTTAAGAAAATGCCTTTGAGTCATAATCCCGATAGTATGGAAATTGGTCATGTTCTAGATAATAATAAGATATATTTAAAGCTAATTAAGGTAGAAAATAATCAGTTCAAGTTTAATTTTCCGTATAAAAAATAAATATGGGAACCAATATCAATCACAGAAAATACAGAAATTGAATTATGAATATACCAGATAACTGTGATTAAATATGTCCCGTGGGGGTCCGGGTTAGAATAGGTCCTCAGTACCCCCTTGCTTGTCGTAAACGGCGACTAAATGGGGTGGTCCTTCGGATGAGACCGTATAAACCGAGGCCCCGTGTCACAGCAGGTGTGGTACGATAAAGACCCCTCCCTGCTCAAAGACCGTAAGTGCCGAGCATAGGCTTAAATTTGCAGCCCAGCACCGGCAATGGTGACGTCTCCATATCAGTGAAATATTCTGGAGAGGGACGTTAAACAGTATACAATCAATCAATCAATCATGTTCAGTGTAATCCATATATATAGGTGTGAAAGCCTTTTTCCTGCAATAAATATTATTTCAAATTGTTTCTATGCGTGTACTGTTCATAAATAACCTTCGCATGCATGTAAGGATTCCTGGCATACTACTCAGAATCAATTTCAACTGCCTTTTATAGTTCCATTGTTTATTGGAAATCTCATTTCCGAGTTAGCGCCGGTGTAAAGACGAATAATGACCCCCATCGAATAATGACCGGGGGTCATTTTTCGCTGTCGAAAAATGACCCCCGGTCAATATTCTACGGCGTAAAATGACCCCCGGTCATTATTCGACGTCGAAAAATGACCCTTTTGCCCGTAGAAAAAGTGTCACCACCCTAAAATAGTGATCGAGATGTCCGTCCGTCTGTTACGCTTTGGGGTATCCATCCCTTATCCGCAACTCCTCTTATATATAAAAAGATGTGTTTGTGAAACAGCTATGCCCCTGTATGGCAACATAGCGAAGATAAATCTTTTCTTAAATGCAATTTAAATATATTGGTACCCAAAGTAGGGTCTTCTCACAAGAAATACAATTGCAAAATAGGAAAGCCCTAGTCTCACTTATTCAAAAGTAATGGCTAAGGATAAGTTTTTAAAAGGCAGGTCAAACTCAAAGGTCAAAGGGTCAAAGTTGATGGTTTCTTAAGAAAGGTTTAATGTAACAAGGATTACATATGTGAAGTATATGTGAAGTATGAAAACCCTAGTCTTTACCGTTCAAAAGTTATGACCAAGGTTAAAGTTTTTTTCATTAGTACGGAAATCTCCACGGTCAAAAGATCAAAATTTTTAGTATCCAATGAAAGGTCATGCCAAAAAAATACATATGTGAAGTATGAGAGTACTAGTATCTACCGTTTAAAAGTTATGGCTAAAGTAAAAATTTGGCACTTTTGTGTAAAATGGGACAAACTCCAAGGTAAAGGTCAAATTTGGTGGTACCGAAAGTAAGGCCTTTTCACAAGGAATACACATATAAAATATGAAAGTTATAGCTCCAATAAATGAAAAGTTATGGTCAAGGTTAAAGTTTATGCGGATAAACAGACCGCCAGATAGATAGACAGACATACAAACGGACACGATAAAACTATATACCCCCGAATCTTCAATTACGGGGACATAAAAAGAAATGGTTTTCAATTAACTTTTCATATTATGATACAGTATAAAGAAGACGTTACTGAAATGAAAATGTTTGTTCTGATTTTCATATTAAATTCTCTTAAAAATGTACTCAGAACTACGTAAAGGGGTTGAGTAAAACAAGAATTAAGAAATGTAATGAATACTGTGTGCTAAATCAAAAGGTTATGTCTACATGTATAGTTTTTGCATTAGAATGTGTATTTTACGCTAGCCCATAGCTTTACGGAGCATATTTTTAGGTTTTATACTCACCCCAACCTCTTACTTATTTAGGAGGAAGTCGATCATCAACAAAAGCAGCAACAACAAAAAAACTACCCTACGTTTATTTTTCTATAAGGAGGGACTAAAAATAAGCTTAAAATAATTTACTATTCTACTAATTTTCAACAGTTACTTTGCAACAATACTTTCAAGTATACCCCACCAACATTTAAAGTATGCTTTAATCATGGCGAAGTAAATTGTTATGATAGTACTTGTGTGAAGGCTTAACTTCATTTCAATATTTTATCTAGAGACTCTTTCAGTATTATTGAAATTTATAGAGTTTTATTTATATTTTTGCTTTTCATTTATTTTTTTTTTTGTTTTGATTTAACGTAATGTTCTTGGAGGGGGGATAAAATGCATGAATTACTCGAAGCAAGAACAATTATAATATACAGCATATTTTTTCCCTTTCACCTGTTATAAACTTTGTATTACTTTAAAGGGGGTCATTTTTCAATGGGGGTCAATTTTTTATAGGACTAACATATAAAATAATGACCCCTAAGACTCTTTTTCTACAAAAAATATTTTTTCTACGGGTGGGGGGTCATTTTTTGTCGTTGAAAAATGACCCCCGGTCATTATTCGATGGGGGTCATTATTCGTCTTTACACCACCCATTAAATTGATAAACCCCGCCCACTGGAACTGCTTTCTGGGACTGCTCTCCGGGACCGCTGTGGGACTGCTTTAGCAGTTCCAGAAAGCAGTCTAAGGAACTGCTCTGGGACTGCTTTGTGTAGGTTGGGTCTGGTCGGTAGTGTATCTGTTAAGTGAAGAAACGTAAAATTCTAAAAGACGTAGTACACCACTATCTTCATTTATTGTGAAATACATGTATACTGGTGTCTCAAGGTAACGCGGTACTTATTTCTTTGGCATAACAAGTGTAATTTAAAATTTTTCCTTTCACTTTCTTCAAATGATATTTGTGATATTCATAAACCTAACTATGACCCAACCTTTTAGTGTCAAATTATCTTCCAAGCTTGCATCTTTTAATTACTTTTTTTTAACAAGAAGCTTTATTTCCAAACTCATTGTATCGCAGTATGGAAAACATGGAAGCTTGTAACTGAAATGGATCGAGTTTAATTTCTAATTTCATGATGTTATTCTACATGAAAAATTAAGAATTATACAACCTACACTTTCAAAACATGAACTATACTATGGATGGTACTTAGTTATAAATTTATTGGCCTAAATATAATAAAAAAAATAAATATAATAATAATCTGTAAAATTACATTTCAAACGGATGTTTCATGACAAAAGTCAACATTCGGACGACAGACAGATATCCCATCAACAAAAAGAACATGGGCTCTATATGTATCCTAGTTTGTGAAATATACCGCGATACAATGGAATCTGCGATAAAATGAGAATCGAGTAAAAATGAAAATTGTGGAATACATGTATATGAAATAATTTATTATTATTATCTCACGTGTTCCAAGACAGCCATTTCGCTTATCACAGAAGTCACCATATGTGCATTTTTCCTCACAAAAGGTACCATAAAATCCCGATGGACACTCTTCTGAACAGTTTTCCCCAAATGACCCAGGTGGACATTCTAACAATAACACATCGTCCTTATTTCAGATAAAAATTAAATTTTAAGATACATTTATCACCTTATGTGACATTTTTTTTATAAAACCAATATGAAAATTTGAAGTGAAGACATACCGTACAAGATGAAATTTTAGCAAGACGCAAATTTAGCGATTTCTATCTAAAATCTGGTATTTTATTTTTAGTAATGTAATGTAATGTTAGCGATTTTAAAATGTTAACTTAAGAAGCTATTACATATAATACGCAATTAATTTTTAGCGATGTCAGCACCGTCGCTAATAATGCCAAAATTAAATCCTCGCTAAAAATTCTACTTATACGGTATCTTTGATGTATCTATCTATAAAAAGAATTCATTCTCAAATTTCTGAGATATATATCCAGCCAAAATTATCTCTTATGCTTGTTATTTCTTTTATTTTCAAAGTTTTCTTGTAATTATTACAAGTTAAACATTGCACTTTATTAATATCTTTCAAATACAGTGTATCAATTATGCCGACGCTTAAGCCAGGATTATTATAGTTGTTTTGGGGAACTTTGATCAAAGTTAATGAATTTTAATCCTTAACACGTTTCAGTAATATATATTTATATATATATTCATCTGAAGCAGAATTTGTGCAAGATCGATCTTATGAGTGAAAGAAGAAAACACTTGATTTGACCTTCAACTCGACATTCAGATACATGTACTGTCAATTAACAATGGTAAATTCCATTCCTATGCCGATATGATAATTGTCCTAGTGAGCTTGAGATAAAAGATACCACAGAGTTTTACACATACATGTATGTTTCATACTTGGATATTTTACTTGAAAAAGACATTAATAGTAATCTAAGAATCAAGCTCTATGATAAACATGAGACTTTAACTTTTCTATCGTCAACTTCCCTTACTTATGCAGCAATATAACATCATCACCTGCATACTGAGTTTATATATTTCAGTTGATTTCATATGAAAGAGCATGCTCTACGTTTGAGCAATTTCTAAAATGAGTTAAATTATTGACAAACAAGTTGATGAAGCAAGAATATCAGCAGTCTCGTTAAATGTTATCATTTCGTAAGTTCTGTGGTCAATACAATGACCTTGTCAGCAAATACAATTTATCATTGAGTCAAATGCTGACTGACGTTTTTCATACCAATTGTTAGTCCATCATTTATACACTGAATTGACGTCGGATTTTTTCCGTTATTTCCTGATCATGACAACGAGCACACGGCGGGTGTGACCGGTCGGCAAGGAATGCTCACTTCTCCATGGCACCTGATCCCACCTCCGATGTTTCGGAGGTCCGTGTTTGCTCTGCTCTGATTTTGTGTATTGTTTAATGGACTTTGAGATTGAATACTGTTCCTTCTCTGATGTTTTGCAGGTCCGTGTTTGCTCTGCTCCTCTTTTGTATTGTTTTATAGACTTTTGATCTTGAATACTGTTTGTGATCTCCATATGTTTCATACAGTATATCAGCATTTTTCTATTTTATAGGATGTTAACTAATAGTATATAAATGGGTACAGTAAACACCCGTTTGCGACAAAAAAAAAACCATTGTTTGTTATACTCTACTTTTATAATAAAGATTTAGTAGTTAATCCAAATCAGATAAAGGAATAATTTTTTTGTTTAAAATTGACATTTACCTTTATTCCAGTGGAAAAACATATAACTTTAATTACAAATGACTTGTAAAAAATGTATAATAGAATACCAAAAATATCGCATATTTTATTGAAGTTTCATAATTTGACCTAAGTATACATAAATTTGATAAGAAAACATTTTTTTGACTGTGGTAATTTTTTAAAAAAGATTATACAAAATACGCGTAGAATTGTTTGAACTAGATTTTTTTGGATAAGAAAATAGAAAAATGAAACTTTATAGAAGTTTAATTTCCTCATCTTTTTTTAGTCCTGTAAATTATAATAGAGAAATTCAACAAAAAGGTTTACTTTAATTTGATTGGTATTCAATTAAAACTGAATAAGTATCTGCGCTAGCCCAGTGGGTCAAACCGTTAATGTATAATTCTTAAATATGTTTATAATTCATTGTAGAGTAATTTTTTGTTTTATTTTCATTAATTTTAATGAAATAAGACATACCTTGGTCAACACAACCGAATCGTTTGTCACAGATGACATTTGAGTTGCATTTACATTTCTGTCGACAGATATAACCGTATTTTCCTTCAGGACACTTGTGATCGCAATTTTGGCCAAAGGTACCCGGGAAACAAACTGTAATATGAGGGGTTATGTTGTTTACTTATATACAATATATGATAAAATATGAATAAGCAGGAGTATTTTATCTGTTTAAATATTTCTATAACTTTCCGATTACCTTTACACGTTCCGCTTTCTTTATATAAAGAGGGTGATTTTCAATTTATAAATTCGTTCATTTAGTTGCTTTACCTGATGACAACTGTTCAGAGAGACTTACCTAGAATTTCTATATGTATCTGATTATTTCAGTGTGTGAAAGTTGATAAAACATCGTGTGAGATTCTTCAATTACAAAGGGTAAAAAAATAAATAAATAAAAAAAACTTTAAAGGTTATTAATTTCCTGCACAAAAAAGTTTAATCCTTTTCATTTTAACTGTCGAATAATTATATGACTTAGCCACACATTTCTTATGTTATTGAGTTTCTACACTCTCCAGTTCCATGATAGATAGTTGGTATGCTCTCTTGAATAAACAAAATTAACAAGTACAGAACAAAGATAGAGCTATTCCGTCTCATGTCGTATTTCATATATTTCCTTCAATATGTTCAAGTTGAATTTATATAAATATTGAAAAAGGAAACAAAAAGAGAGAAAAAAAAACGAGGGTAATAAAAATTTTTAAATTCTTTCGTTGAAATTTATTTATTTGCTTTCATCTTAATTTTTTGCAACATAACCAATTCACCATCATTTAAAACGCAAACATTGATTGTGATCTGTTTCTATACTTAGTAATTTAAACTTACTACTGTACTGTAGGTCTTACCAGATAATTAACGTCTTGTTGATCCCACTGCACTGAGAGATTATATATGTCTTCACTGTTTTAATAGACTGTAGCGTAACGAAACACCTGTATTATATAGCACCTATATTAACAGTAACTATGACGTAGTCAATTTAGTCATGTGTCCTGTCTCCCCTTAAACAAATTACGCCTAAAAACGTTCCGTGCAGTGATGTATACATGTGACGAAGGTAATATTGTTGCATCTATAATGGAAGTTGACGATTGAAAGAAGTTTCATCTTGTTTCAACATAAGGATGGAAATTACATTATATTAATTGTTTCATAATTTGATGTTTACTTGAAAAAGACATTAATGGTAATCTTACCACCAAGCTTTATAATAAAAGTTATTACTTGAATTTTCAATCGTCAACTTCAAATGAAATACATCGGTTATGTTATGAAACATATAAATGTACCTGTAGCAATTATTTCTGATAAAAGAATATCCAGATAGAAGTTTCATCTCTGCTTAAAAGGACAATTACATGGTAATGAAATGTCGATATACATACATTTCTTTTAGATGTTTAAAGTATATAATTGTGTCGACAACATGCCTTTCATATTGTTTTACAGTTATTTATGAATTTTCTGTAGTAGGAACGAACTTTATCTCAAAAGCTTCTTAGTTGTCTTTTTTGAAAATCTTTGTTTGTGAATTATGTGAATCGGTGTGTTTCTTTGAATGATTGTTTCCCAGTTTTTCGGTTTTTGATTTAAAGTTCTCCAGCAGTTTGGACATATCATTGATCTGTTTTTTTCAAAAGTCTTTTTCCTTTGATGGCATCTCGCCTTTTTAAGTCACAGAGGCCTATGTGTTTTGCATGCTAGATTTAACAGTATGAGAAACGACGTCTTAACTTAAAGATCCTTCTGAATTGTTCTTTCCTTTTCATTGGACGCTTAATATTCATCTACCTTTGCCAATGCATTTTCAAAAACAGAACTCTTCTTCAGTTTGTACATTCAATCACCAATTCATTGTAAGGATTGTTAACTGTGGATGTCACTTTCTAGTAACATCTGGAATACATTTCAATATTGAACTTTTTTTCTGAATCCATTATGTTATTTTATGTATTGTAGGACAAAGCACCCATGCTAAGATGGCTATATTTATTATCAGCGTCTTCTGATACATTACAGGTGTTAAAGGCACCCTTGTCTGGAAAATAATTACCATACCTAAGTGCTTCTGACTTATTATTGCATTTGGAGGGAAAATGGGTTCCTTAGAAATTGTTATTTATAAGTTTTCTATATACACTAGTTTTCCGCAAATGGTGTGGTTCTTGCACTTGGATTTAATTGTTGTTTCCCAGCGATTTTGGATCGTCTACAAAAATAATTAAGAAATATTTGCATCTATTTGAAGTATACATTTTCATAGCTATGTGTGAATATGAAAATTTACAAGTTAAGGAAGAAAAAAATACACCTCTAAAGGTTTTTTTTTAAGTAAAGAAAATGACTTTTACCAATCCATCGCTTTTCGCATACATGTTTCCTTTTTAAGATAAAGGAGAACTTGATTAAAATAAGAATTTTTGTTAAATAAGATTTAAAAAAAAACACCTCATATTTTATAGTGAAGCGGACATTGATGAACTTTTGAGATTTTTGAGGGACTGGGCCTGTCTTTCTAGTATGTAAATGTGTTACTGTGTGGTCTTAATTTAAACAACATTTTATTCACTGATTTGAATGGGATTGGGCAGCAGGTTCAGCCTTTTCTAAGCTCTCTCTCTCTGTTATAGCCACCTTGTGTGACCTAATACTTGTACATGCATAAGGATTATAATTGTCAGTTTATAATGGTATAAAATATTGATAAATACGTTCTAAAATGTGTCATGTTTCAGATTTTTTTCTTTCAGTTTTTGAATTTCATCAACAATGAAACAGTTGTTTGACCTCTTCCGAATAAAAAACCGATCTATAAATAAA